TTGACTAGCTTTTGTTTCGCGCCAACGACGTTTTAGTGCTTGAAAGGTTGTCATCAAAGACCGCTGCGAACTTTTGCCCTCAACTGTTTATTGCACAAGGCAGGGGGAACAAGGTCATCGTTCAAGAAAAGTTGCGCGAGTAATACCTCCAATATCTGTGCATACAAAGTTGCCAACCTATCACGACCAAATCTCATATGTATAAATGCAAATGCTATAGTTTCATTTAGAGACTATTTTGAAATAAAATATTAATCTTTATGACCTGGAACGAATCGTTTAAAAGTTAACTCGATGGCAAAGTGTTTTGCCGCTTAACATGCGTAGAAGGTGTCACGTCTGAACGTTCTCATACCAATATTGCAAGTTGCAAAATTCCATTTGATTATTTTAAATCAGTTTGGTAACTGACCGAAAGATAATATTCATTCCAGTAGTAGCATTCATACGATGATTTCGTCTCGTTTAAATGACACTAAAAATTCATATTTCTTCAGTATATTATATGTAGTTTTTTATTACTATTATAAAAACTATTATTATGATTGATGGGTATATATTTAGCAAAATAACAAAAACCAACTAGATTTGCAGCATCACTTAAGGCACTTATTCACTCAGCAAAATATCCCTTCCAAGTATAAAATAACCAATTTTTTTAATATTTTTTCAGTGGAAGGCATCCAACAAACTGACGCAACTGATACAGCAGTATTTTTCCACTTTGGTCTGAACATACTACTAACATATTCTGAAGGGAAAGACAAACAAAATACCGCTTCAGCGTACAAAGATTGGCTTTATGGGGTCGGCAGCACTGAATTCCATCACAATACAGAGTACCCAAATACGAGATGCACATGTCACCACAACAACCAAGGTGAGAAAACTACAATAGATTCACAAACAGAATTTTCAACCGGATATGGTGCATCAGGACACACAGAAGAAACATCAACAACCAATAAAGCTACAAATTCGTCCCACGATTACGAAGACACGAATAACTACGGTTCAACGGATGCTGAAGATCTAATTGATATTCGTACAACCGAAGATGGGGGAGTAGGAGAAACGGATGAACCAAAAGAGGGATCAACCACACAAGATTCAAATTCATCTCACGCCAAAGAAGATTCTAAACATCACAATTCAACAGATGGTGTTGGTTCCACTGATGATGGTACATCGGCCGATGGTGAAACAGAAGAAACGGATGACACAAAAGAAGGATCAACCACAAAAGATTCAAATTCATCTCACAACACAGAAGACAGTAAACATCACGATTCAACGGATGATGTAGGTTCCACTGAAGTTGGCACATCCGCAGATGGTGAAATAGAGGAAACGGATAACACAGAAGAGGGATCAACCACAAACGATTCAAATTCATCTCACCACGCAAAAGACACTAAACATCACGATTCAAAGAATAGTTTAGGGTCTACCGAAGTTCATACATCTTCAGATGGTCAAACCGAAGAAACAGGTCACACAAAAGAAGGTACAACCACAAAAGATTCAAATTCATCTCACGACACAGATAGCACTAACCATTACGATTCAACAGATGATATTGATACAACCGCTTATGGTAAAACAGAAGAAACGAATGACACAAAAGAGGGATTAACTACAAAAGATTCAAATTCATCTCACGATACAGAGAACACTCAACACAATGATTCAAGGGATGATGTAAATTCCACCGATGACGGTACAACCGCACATGCTGAAACAAAAGAAACAGGTGACACAAAGGAAGGACCAACCACAAAAGATACAAATTCATCTCACGACACAAAAGACACTAAACATAATGATTCAAAGAATGGGTTAAATTCCACCGATGATGGTACAACCGCACATGCTGAAACAGAAGAAACGGATGATAGAAAAGAAGGATCAACCACAAAAGATTCTAATTCGTCTCACGACTCAGAAGGCATACACCACAATTCAACAGATGATGTAGGTTCCACTGATGTTGGTACATCGGCAGATGGTGAAACTGATGAAACGGATGACACAAAAGAAGGATCAACCACAAAAGATTCAAATTCATCTCACGACACAGAAGACAGTAAACATCAGGATTCAACGGATGGTGTAGGTTCCACCGAAGTTGGCACATCCTCAGACGGTGAAACAGAGGAAACGGATGACACAAAAGAAGGATCAACCACAAAAAATTATAATTCGTCTCACGACACAGAAGGCAAACATCAAGATTCAACGAATGGTGAAGATTTCACCCATGTTGGTACAACCGCTCATGATGATACAAAAGAAACGGATGACTCAAAAGAAGGATCATCCACAAAATATTCTAATTCGTCTCACGACACAGAAGACACGAAACATAATGATTCAAAGGATGGTGTAAATTCCACCGATGATGGTACAACCGCACATGCTGAAACAGAAGAAACGGATGATACAAAAGAAGGATCAACGACAAAAGATTCTAATTCGTCTCACGACTCAGAAGGCATACACCACAATTCAACAGATGATGTAGGTTCCACTGATGTTGGTACATCCGCAGATGATGAAACAGAAGGAACGGATAACACAAAAAAGGGATCAACCACAAAAGATTCTAATACATCTCACGACACAGAAGATAAACATCACGATTCAACGGATGGTGTTGGTTCCACTGATGTTGGTACATCCGCACATGGTGAAACAGAAGAAACGGATGACACAAAAGAAGGATCAACCACAAAATATTCTAATACATCTCACGACACAGAAGGCACTAACCATTACGATTCAACAGATGGTGTAGGTAGTTTCGATATTGGTACAACCACACATGGTGAAACCGAAGAAACGGATGATACAAAAGATGGATCAAACACAAACGATTCAAATTCATCCCACTACACAAACGAAACTAAACATCACGATTCAACGGACGGTGTAGGTTCCAATAATGTTGGTACATCCGCAGGTGGTGAAACAGAAGAAACTGATAACACCAAAGAAGGATCAACCACAAAATATTCTAATTCGTCTCACGACACAGAAGGCAAACATCAAGATTCAACGGATGATGAAGATTTTACCCATGTTGGTACAACCGCTCATGATACAAAAGAAACGAATGACACAAAAGAAGGATCAACGACAAACTATTCAAATTCGTTTCACGTTACAGAAGATAATAAAGATAACAAATCAACGGATGGTGTAGGTTCAACCACACACGGTGAAACAGAAGAAACAGATGACACAATCGAAGGATCAACAACAAAAGGTTCAAATTCAGCTCACGACACAGATGACACAAAAACTATTGATTCAACGGATGATGATGGTTCCAGCGAAGATGATACAAGTGGAGGTGGTGGAAAAGGGGAAAAGGATGAATCCAAAGAAGGAACAACCACAATAGATTATTATAATTTCACGCACGATTCTGAATTAACTCATAATTCTGGGTCAACGGATGACGCTGGTCCAACCGATGTTGATACAACCGGAAATGGAGGGAAAGAAGAAACTGATGACTCCAAGGAAGGATCAACCACCTTAAAAGATGATAACACGAACGAAGATATTGATGGCACTCCCGAAGAAGAGTATACGTTTGGCGGTACTTCTGACCGGGAACATAGGAATGGCGATAATGGCAAAGAAGGCGGTAAAGGAAAGAAGGATAATAACGGTAACGGAAATGAAAGTAATGAAAATAATAGTAATGAAAGTAAAAGTAATGAAAATACTGAAAATGGAAACAATGATACAGGACCAAATGGTAAAAAGAGGGATAAGAACGATAATGGAAAAAATGGTAAAAATGAAACACCTCGTTCAGAAAACGAATCGGAAGATGTTTCTCAATCAAATGATGATAGAAGTGATGTGAGGGACAGTAAAAATAATATTTCCTCTAGTGAAAATGAAGATGCAAATGGTGAGAAGAACCATAATAAAGGGAAAGGCAAAGGTAGTGATGAAAATAGTTCTGCAGCAAATGACGATAACAACTCGAAAGAGAAAGAAAAGGGTTCTTCTGATAATTCTAAAGAAAATGAAGATCAACATTCAAAGGATAATAGTTCCTAAGAACACGATGTAGAAACATTCTCTTTCGTACCAGTATGGGTGTTAAAATATGCTGGGCAACTATTTTTGATTTATCTTTCAGAATTTGTAGGGTTTTGTTTTGTAAACAATAAATACAATACATTTTCCTTGTTCTCTCGAAAAGAAATCGATAGTAATAAATTAAGGATTAATAACAGTTGTTTGATGGAGTTATATTTTGTAACCAGTACCGTAATATTGAGCAAATTTCTTAACTTCTATTCAAATAATTATGTACGTAATGAGATAATAAATACGATTCTGAAATTTATTGTTGCTTATTGTTTTTGCGTGTTGTGTCCTCTAGCCAATTAGAATGTTGCTGAAATTGAAACAAAAGTAGAAAGGTATTTAATCCTAATTTTGGAAAGCTAAATTCTATTCTTCTTGCAATTGTTTATCCCGTAATTTTTGGTTAATGCGGACCCACATATTTTAATATATGCGAAATTCTAGTTTTTTACCATTTTAACTGACTAGCATAAAAACATGAATTCTAGGGTTTGGGAAGCATGATATAATTTTAAAAAGTCATTAACGCACCCCAAAAATAAGTAATTAAATGCTTTTTAAAGCATAAAGTATAATCGAGAATATGTATGTTAATTCTAGATTTCGGCAAGCTAAAATCATTTTGAAAAATTAACAACTAAGAACTAAAATTTTCTTCCCTTCTTTTTCAAAACATATTACGTTGAATGGATGTTGTTTTCCTGTGAAATATCATTTCTTATAAAACCATTATACGTATCAACATGGAGACCTCCTTTTCACCGGGTATCTTATATTAATACTCTCATTTCGCCGATTGGGCCTCTATTTACCTTTGCACGACCACGCGGCTATAACACTAAGTGCTGCATCTTCAAAATTAGAACCTACCGTCGGCAAGCTCCGTTTCCCTCGGCCAGGTATCTCCCAGGAACGCATCGTTCCCTCCCTCGCTCCAACATCACCTCAGCTGGAACAAACTCTTGGCTCCCGACCTAGGTCCTTCCTCTAAATCTCTCGGCATGTGAGGTAGAATAGTGCATGTTTTTGTGAGTGATGCGCCTGGTGTTAATCGGAGAAACCACAGATAAGTACTGATCAGAGCAGCCGGCCGATAGAATTCTCCCCCAGACAGCGACTGAATTCGACACAGCTAACAAGTTAGTCGGGACTCAAACCTGAGGATTTCCCGGTCAGAGGTACTGCAGTGACATCAATTGATGCCCTAAGCCACCTCTGTCGGTTCTTAACCTCGGCTGCACCATTCACGTGTGCAACCAACACAGCTTCTTCTCGACGACAACTTCAAAGATTTTATCATTAATGAAAGAAGTGGGATCTCTTCAGTTTGTTTGAACAACATGTTTGAAGCGGCATAATTTATTTTTGATTATTAAGATACAAATCATACCCAGGCAATAGTTGTCAACATTAGTAGTCAGTAGTTAGTAGTCATAGTTGTCAGGGAGACTACGCCCTGAAGGTTGTCCAAGTTCTACCGCCAAGCAGGGGAACGATCTTCAACACGTCAATAAAAATTTTACAAGACATTACAAGACAACATTTTTTTATTTTTAAATTAATTAAAAATCATATAACAGGATATTTGGTAAATCCAAAGATTGAAAGATAAAACAACAAGGGAAACAAGATAAGTTCAACATTTAGTAATTAATTTCAGTAAAACTATTCAGGCAAAAAAACAGATATTTGACAAAGGATTAGAAATATATTATAACCGTTAGAAATTAAAAAAATTGTGAACAAATTAATGATTTTTAAAGAAAAATTATAAAATACATAAAGTAGAAAACTAATTTTGTAAACAGTTAAATAGAGAATACCTATAGATGTAAACAATGTATGTGAATGTATGTTTCAAATACCCAAGAGGGTCAAATAAATCAATATCTATAAATCAGTTGAATTAATGCAAGCAGTATGAAACAAAACCAAAAGAATATTTCTATTCAATGATCAGCGACTATCTTACGTACTAAAAATTGTGTTAACGAAAATTTAAAAAATTAAAAATGATAATCTATTGATCTATCTCTCCATCCATCCATCCATCCATCTCACCACCCATCTCTCTCGCTCTCTCTCGCGCTCTCTCGCGCTCTCTCTCTCTCGCGCTCTCTCGCGCTCTCTCTCTCTCGCGCTCTCTCTCTCGCGCTCTCTCTCTCTCTCGCGCGCGCTCTCTCTCTCGCGCGCGCTCTCTCTCTCGCGCGCGCTCTCTCTCTCGCGCGCGCGCTCTCTCTCTCGCGCGCTCTCTCTCTCTCGCGCTCTCTCTCGCGCGCTCTCTCTCTCGCGCTCTCTCTCTCGCGCGCTCTCTCTCGCACTCTCTCTCTCGCGCTCTCTCTCGCGCTCTCTCTCTCTGGCGCTCTCTCTCTCGCGCGCTCTCGCGCTCGCTCTCTCTCTCTCTAAATATATATAACTCTCTCTATCTATATCATAGGTGAGTCAGCAAATTATTTCGCCATCATCGGTGACGAGGTCTGGCCCACCGTGGCAGTACAGCCACCGCGTGGTGGCAGTATAAATGATAATTTTTACACTATTTCAATTTAAAAAACAGATTTATTAAATTTCTAGTATTGAGATAGAAGATGGAAATAAGACTTCCTGAATTTCGTAGAGAATTCAACTTTTCCAATACGGAGAGTTTTGCAAAAATGTTGAAGTAATTTTTGCGGAAGTTTGTTTGGAGCCTTTTTAAAAATGTTGAAAAGCCATTTTTAGTTTCTCTATAATGAAACCTTACGGATTTTTGAAAAATCTTTACAGATACTTTGAAACTTGTGTTAACAAACGTATTAATGTAGTACGTACACATAGTACATAGTAGATATAATGTAAATTTTACTTCAAAGATATTTACAAAAGGGCAGTTTTGTACTTTTTCAAAAGTTGAAATGGGGTTAATTCATGATATTCAGTGCAATTTAGTTCTATCTATACAAAAAGTTTAAAGAAAAATCATTTCGTCGTTTTTAATAAAACTTTGTTTATAATATTGCACATAAAACTATCTTCTTGCAAGAAGAAAATCGTAAAAATTAGAAATATCTTATTTTCAATAGGAAACCAGTGTTGCTAAAAGAGCACCTTGTACTTTCTCGTCTTTAGTTATAGTTATGTAATATTTTTCATACCAAATATGTAATACTTTTTTAATAAATTGCAAAAATGAATGAGTGTTTAATCATTTCAAATTTTAGCTATTCCTTTTCCTTTACATTAAGCCCCTGGCACATCATCAAAACAAAAAAAAATAGCTCCAACGTTTGTTATTAAATTTTATTTTTCGATAGTACGAAGAACATTTATGCAAATGGTACACGTCTCATTTTCGTTAAAAACCCTCGAAAGTTGCAAAAATTCATAACTTTTCTACGTTCTAATTTCCATCCAGCAAAATTTATATTTTAATTATTTCCATTATATTTTAGGCATTATCAAAGGTAGGATTTTCTAGGAGTGATGGTATTTACATTGCTCCCAATACATAGAGAGAAGTGAAGAATGTCTTAAGAACATGTTATTTTTTAATGACGCGCGGTATGGGCACGGTGTTGCCAACTTGCGCGTTTCCGTCCCGATTCTCTAAAAAACGAGCGAACATCTGCCTTCTGGCTAAGTATGACTTGATAAAACGGTATCAAAAATACAGAAGGAAATGGAATTTCCTTTTAAGACGACTGATTTTCAAAACAAATCATACAATAAACCCTAGTTGTCAATCAGACAATAAACCCTAATTGGAGATTGTATAAAACCTACAAAGGAAAACAGTCATTAACTGGCGTGGATGAACATGTCAATGTTTTTAAAACTCGTTTTTTAAATACAAGCACCTGCCCAACTCTGCTCGTTACAAATCGTACATTTGGTGCAAAAACTAAATATTTTCAAACAAATATCAACACAAATTTGACAATTATAACTCCTTTTCATACAGGTATATCATATCCCAACAATAAGACGTAATACACAAAAATGAGCTCGCGAGTCATCGTTGTTCAGTCATTGTAGGATTTCAATTAGACATTTCACGAAAGCTAGCAGTATTTCAAATAGGTTTTAAAGCATTTCTAAAAGATTGATGTACAAATGTATAACAAGAAGTCGAATTTAAGAACCGAACAAATCAATGTTAAATAATATACAAATTCTCACTTACGAAGCATCCAACTGTGTGCAATTGTTCCCGACGCGAGGTAAAATCGCAGCGGGTATTTAATTTTGTTGGCATTTTACGCACATTCACTCATTTTCAAAAAAATTGCACATTACATTATTTGAAGATCTACTTTTAATAAACACATTTCATTTCAAAAAACTATCTTTTCAAATTATTATAGTTGTAGGAAGACGACGATTTGTTTTTAATTTTTCCAAAATCATGCATTTTAATGAAAAACAAATTTTGAATTTTTTCAATTGTCAAAAAGTTAGGGTTTTTAACCAACATGAGACATATACCTTTCTCTTAAACGTCCATCAGTCTATCCACCTACAAAATTTCATCAAAAATGACGAGACTATTTTTTTGAATATTCTGAAAATGTCCCAGGGGCTTAAGTTTAAGTACCAAAAAGTACTAAAATTTTTAGAAAATTGTACATGACTATTTTTAAATCTTTCTATAAAGAACATATTTTATTCAGGGGGAAATATATCTTTAATATTTTAGTTGTAGCAGGACACTAAAACATTTTCTGAATTTTTTGAATTTTTGAAAAATCCGAGTTCTTACCCAATATGAGACTTACACGGTTCTTTTCAACGTTCTTTAGACTAACTAACAACAAAATTTAATCAAAATCGATGGCGCCATTTTTTTGAAAATGTTCTAGAAGCTTCCTGTTAAGTACACCTATAAATCAAAATTTGTATTTCAAATTCATGGTGCCACGACATCAGCCAAATCGATCACGGAATATCAATTTTGGAGAAAATCGTCTGTACAGTTTAGCCGCTAG